TTGGCCTGGGCTTACCACCTGGGCTCTCCCAGGGGACAGGCCACGGCTGCAAGGGACACTGTTCAGTCCCGCCAGGGTCCAGGCCTGTCGCCCTAAGCCTGGGTTTCAGGACCTGAGGGGCAACCCTACCATCTTCACCCCAGAAGTCTGGGGGTTGGGGGGGGCAGTGTCTTCTCTCCCCACAGTGGGGAGCAGGGCTCATCTCTGCCGGGCACCCTCCCTCGTCTCCTGCCCCCCTCTCCCCCAGCCTCAGGCTGACCCCGGCAGGCCCCGCCCCAGGGTGGCCCAGTGTGGACAGAGAGGTCCCGACAGCTTAGAGAGAAGGAGGCGGCAGCAGCAGCAGCAATGACAAGAACACAGACATGGGGTTGGGGTGGAGGAGGGCATACAGGCACCCGTGTCGCTCAGGGGTCCTCGGGCGGGCGCGCAGCTCTCCAGGAAGGGGACGCACATGTCACACGCTAGCCTGGTGGCCCTACAGCCGGCGCTGTAATGGTGGCGGCCTCTGGGCGGCACCCACCTTGGAGCCCCGCTCGTTAAAAATGATCTCCACGTCTAAAATTTTTCCGAATTGCTGCAGAGACAGAGAGGGTGTCGGGGGGTTCTCTGAGTTCTGTCCTCCCAGGTTCTACAGCAGGTCTTTTAAAATATAAATTTTGAGGGTTTTTTGTTTTGTGGCACCCTCACCGCTGCCCCTCTGCCCGGGCCCCTCCCTCCGTGTAGCTGGGGGACAGGGACGCCCCCCGCCTTCTGTGGAGCGAGGACGAGGCCCGTCCACAAGCTGGGTCTGTGCTTGGTGACAGGTGTGCGCCGTGTCGCCATCACCGTGTCCCTCCCTGCTCTGCCACAAGCTGCTGGCTGCCCCTCTAATTCACACTAATGGGTAAAGGACTATGAGAAGGCCCTTCCCCACAGGAAGGGCTGGGAGAGAAGGCACCACGGCGGGGCCTGTGTGACTGCTGCCCATGCTGGGGGCACCGGGCTGGGGGCACCGCGGTGACTGGACCCCAGGCCCCTCTGCCCAACTGGGACACACTGGCCAGGGCACTCGACTCTGCCTCCCCTTCCGGCCTGCTCGCTGGCATGTGAGATCATCAAGCTGTGACCAGATCCCCCCAATGCCAGTGAGGTCCTGAGGCCTCAGTGTGTAAAATGATGGGGCTCCCCTTCACCCCGAAACATCCTGGAGGTGGTGTCATGGGTCACAAGGCAACCCCAAGGCTGCCACAGAGAGGGAGGAGGTGCCGCCCTGAGCAGGGGCCGAGAGCTGGCGGGCAGCCTGCAGGTCCTCCAGGGCGGGCGGGCTAAGGGCAGCCGGGCCCCGGGGCCCCGAGACCTACGCAGCTGCTTTACGTGGGGCCCAGGCCCAGGGGGTCTGGCAGCTGCTCGGCTCCAGGGCCAGAAGCGGTGGGTGTCGGGGGAGGGCAGATCCTCATCTGACGACTCCAAGTCCTGCACCCCCTGGGGCCCAGGCAAGTGGCAAATGAAGTGACCGGGGGCTCCCTGCGGTTGGCTGGGCCCCACAACACGACCTCGGGGACAGCCCCGGAAGGACACGGTCTGGCGCTTGCTTCCCGTGGACTGTGTCTCGTCCCGTAGCCCATCCCTGGAGCCCGGAGGACGCAGCCCAGAGAGGCCGGGGGCCCGGCAGGGCCTGGATGGGACCCAGGAAGCCCGAGGGCAGGAGGAGGCCGTGGGGACAGGAAGGGGGGCCACACACACTCACCCCGAACATTTGCCGCAGGTCGGGGTCCCTGAACCGGAAGGGGATGTTGGAGACATGGAGCCGCTTGGGGTGCTGCTTCTCGGTGGGGTCGGAGGGGTGGAG